GAGGGAGAGGTCTGAAGTAAGAGTTTTCTTGATCTTCACGAATGTGTCTTGACATTCCGGGGTCCATGACCATGGTTTGTCCTTTTTTAAATGTTGGTTGAGAGGCCCTCTCAAATTTTGCATGTTCTTAATGAACCCTTGGTAAAAGTTGGCTAGGCTGCGGAAGCTTTGTAACGCTTGAACGTTATCTGGGGCCGGCATGTTTCTGATCGCGTTGGCTCGTATTTTAGCAGAATACCTGCTTGTTCGAGTCTATCTAACTCTTTGTTGATTTGCTCTTGAGAAGCGAAAGGGACATTCCGTTTCTTTTTGAATACCGGTTGTGCACCGTCCTTCACCTTGAACTTAGCTTTCATTTTAGTACATTTCCCAAGGCCGCCAGAAAAAACCTGGGGAAATTGTTGTTTGAGTTCCTTTTTTAGATTTACCAAATTGGACGTTGTACTTTGTATCTTGCGACAAAATGTACTCATTGGGCAATCGCAAAGATTGAATTTTTCTATCCAATCTGTTCCAAATAAGTTATCTGAAGTTTTCAATACGTAGGCTTTGAGCTTTTTAGTAACTCCATTTAGTGTTACTGTAAGTATTATCTCACCTAAAATGTTAATCTTTTCGCCAGTTACGGATTTTGCTGTTTTATCCGTTTTTAATAAGGTCGGCTTGTTCAATTTTCGCCAAGTCCGCCAGTTAATGGTTGAAAGATCGGAACCCGAGTCAAGCTGGAATTTAATGGACTTATTGAAAATATCCACAGTTACATATTTTCTTAAATTCCTATTGACAATATTGTCAGATTGAGCTTGCCTAATTTTATTTTTGGGTTTTCTCGTTCTGTTGGCGTACCAGCACGAAGTTAAAGTATGGCCACTTTTATTGCAATTTTTGCAATATTTTTTGTTCTTAACTGGACAGATTTTCATCCAATGCCATTTACCACAATGGTAACATGGTCCGGGCGGTTTCTTTAACATATTTGGGTTTTGGTTACTGCGTAATTTAGGACATGAGATTTGCTTTTTGTCTTTTTGAGGGGAATAGGAGGTAGACTTACTTCTGATTTTATTAATCTGAGTCACCCTTGATTCCTCGATAGTGTTTGAGTCACACTTTACAGATATTACTCTTTGACAGTCCTCTGCCAGTTTTTGGAGAGTCAATCCTTGTTCGTTCTCATGCTTGGTCAGTACCCGTCGTCTGACTTCGGCGTCTTGTGCTGATACTAGACCTTGTGCGAAAATCAAGCACTTGAAATCATCGGCAGTCAGTTCGGCTAGTTTAAAATCATTACAGAGCTTGTTTACCGATTCTGCAAACGTTAGAAAATCTTGCTGGTTGTCTTTGACTGTGTTCAGGCATTTCCAACGTTTGTGGAACAAGGTTGTGTTAGGCCCGAATAGTTCCGATAGGAGCTTAATAGTCTCTGAAAAATCCAAGTCAGTCGTTTTCTTGGACAGTATGAAGTCTACGAACCTACTATGTTCTGTAGTTCCCAGTTTTCTCAATAGAAGACGTACCTTCTTTTTACTGGACCATTGTTCACAGTCTACGTTGAAAATATCTTCGTAGCGCCTGTAAAAAGCGTCGAACGTTTTGTCGTTCTCTGGTACGCATTCAAAGGTTTCCATTGAATTGTAGATTGTACTCTGGGAGAATATTGTATCTTTTTCAGAGTTTGAGCCTTTTAATGCATTTACGAGTAATTCTTTAAGTTGTTTCTGTTGTAGTTCAGCATTCTGAAGCGTAATTCGTTGGAATTCCATTTGTTGTTTATGTAATTCCAAAAATAGTTGTTGTCTTTCTTCTGATTTTTGTTGCTGATCTAAATTTAGTTTTAACATTTGGTCAACTGCTTTTTGAAAATCTTCCATATTTAAAATGACAGCGCTTTTAGGAGGTACACAAAAAATCTTGACAGATTTTTGTTCCTTTTTTTTCTTTTACAGAAAAAAATATGGACAGACAATAGTTAAACTAAACTAATTATGTGTTTAGCTTTTTTTCCCGTGGTTCCGTTAATTTTTATTGTATAAATTTTCACCACACTTATGTACTTTTTTTTATAGAGGTACAAAAAAAAGAGAAAACTCACCTCAGTGAATTTGAGGGGAGAAAAATTTTATGCACGAGTTGGTTACATAAAAAAAAATTTAGATAGTTTTTTTTCGAAAACTTGAGTACAATGGTAGTACTTCCGCTCTTGTATAGTCAGTTTGTTTTATGAACAACTGTTTTTTTTTCTGTGTGTGGGTGTGTAAGAATTCGTTCTTGTTATTTGGACAGACTTTAATATTCCGTAGATGTCGAAACACTGCTCGTCACTGATGTGTGGAATATATGTAGACGCTGGGTGTTTAGCTTTTAAATCGCTAATGTAGTAATACCAGCTTAATTTCTCGTTCAACACTACTGTGAGAACGCGTGTTTTTTGTGTATTTTTCGAGTATCTGTCGCTATTGATATGGTGAGAACGAATTTCTCAATCTTTCTGTCACCACTGTTGTGGGACTGGCAAAGTATTGCGGTTTTCGACGTGAATGCGTTTCTCGAATTCTTCGTCGACAGATGTGGAACTGGTAAGGTATTGAGGTTTCGCCGTGAGTGCGTTTCTCGAATCCTCGTCGCCACTGATGTGGGGCCAAAGTCGGGACCACAAAAGGAAAACACGGAACACGGATTAGATGTAAGGAAGATATATTAACAACAGGTTACAGACATAGTGTAAGCGGAGCTTACTATATGTTAGTGTCCAATACTGGTAGTCGTACGCGGCTCTCACTGTCTCTCTGTGTCTCTGTCTAGAGTGTTGTGTCGCATACTTAATATAGACCTGGAAGAGTCTATTATGTAGGTAGTTCCGGTCTCACAATAATAAAACAGTAGGTTATCGAATGAGGATCGAATTTACCATATTGGTCTGCGAATCGATCTGGCTATTATGAGGCTGTCTTTTCATCCAAAGACAACTTCAGATAGGCACATATCTATTTAAACAAAAGAGACCAGTGGCAGTGCAGATATGACAGTGTTCTTTTTTTTTCTTTTTTTTGAAAGCCTAGGAGTTCGATCCTATCAAATCGCTCAATATATGACGAACTGGAGATTTTCTTGAGATTTTTTAGGGACCATGAAACAAGATAATGAGATCCTTATCCATAGTCTTTGAAAAGGATAATGAAATGTGAAAACAATTCCGGAATTTCTCTCGAGTTCAAGAGAAACTGCTGGAATTACACAAACCATTATTTGATATTTTCCATTTCTATTTTAAAGATGATGTCTCTTGGCTTGGAATCTCTCTTCTCTTTCGAAACTAATAGTGGATTCATGGGTAGCAGCAACAACACACAAAGTGTTGCTGCGACGGTTTCAGTAGCAATTAGCTTTAACTGAGGTACAGCTGCTCCTTCTCACACCCAACTGGTTTAAAGTTAAATGTTTATTTTCCTAGACTCTTTGACAACGAAAATAAAGTGCGTAATATACTTGGCTATTTTACCTATAGATCTATTAGGAGATAAGAGATAATACTTATGCATCTCCTTATAGTCTCGGGTAGATTTGAACTCGGTTCGCTGATGTAGGACAATCACGTTGTAAAGATAAACACTCAGTTGTGGAACAAGCTGAGAAAAAGACGCCTCCACCTTGAGAAAGAGAGCTATTTATGGTGCCATGGAGCATCTCATTGTGCTCAAGTGGGATAGTCCATTGCTTGGGCTGTCATTGGCTGCTGGGACATGAGTGGAGGTATTTTTATATAAATACCAGCTTGATTCATCAGCTAGTTTGCAGGGTTTGTATTGAGTTACAACCTGCTTTATTTTTGTCTGCCAGCTGGACGCTAGCTGGGACCCTTACGCCGATAAGTGTTGTTATTCTATTGTTATTCTACATCTCCTTCCCCTCCTCCATCGCATGTGAGTAGATGGTATGTAGTCACGTAGTCGGCGGTGGAATAGCAGTTGATCAGGGGATAGCCCGATGTTTTGAATGGGCGTATTTCTGTATTGGAGGAGGGCTCTTGCTGAACGGTTATTGTCCAACGATCCTTGGGCTCCTGTGTTGCCATCTACGATTCTCTTGGCCGTTTTGACAGCTATCTCTGCCAGACCATTGGATTGTGGGTAACCAGCAGATGATATTGTTATTCTACAGTTGATTTCATTTTCTTTGCTGTTAAGCCATTTTTACTGTTAAGCCATCTTAACCTTCCTACCCTGAATGAGATGACTGAAATTTGAATTCCCAAACAGTTATACATTTCCTCAAACAGTTTCTGATTTATGTTTAAACCAGATTTGTTGACTAACCTTTGGAAGTAATATTTCTGCTACATTTTTCATACGCCATGTCTCTTCAAACGGTGACATTCATGGCTCTCCGCAACTTCCTGTCTCTTAATTCTTTTAAGCAATTTTTGGCTATTTATCCTCAATTTCTGTTATTAATTTACATAAGCTCCAAAAGTAGTTTACTCTCTGTTTCTCTTGCCTTCAATGTCCTGTGTGTGTTAAAATCACTAAACCCTCTTTCCTCATTATATATATCCCAGAACTATAATTTATCTCTTTTTGATTACTATGTTTCTTGGAGCTCCTATTTTGCTTAAAACGTCCTAGTCGCTCACATACTTAGTACATGATATTCTCTGCATCTTTCTGTTGGTTGGTTGTTTTTGTTTAACGGCATATCAACACCTCTATGGGTTATTTAATGCCGAAATCTAAATATTTTGTATGCAAATTTTATTCTATTCTATTTTATTTTATTTCAATTATTTTCTTTTCTTATTTTTTTTATTTTTGTTTTGAGATAATGATGGTTTTAGTAATACAAGTTGTCCTAATTAATCTATAGCGGTGGGGGGGATGAACAGGGTGAATTCATACCTTTGAAAAGGGTATTTGCGCGTAAGGGAATATAACAAACCCAACTGGAACTGGGCTCTCCGATTAACAATAACAAATTATCCACTAAACCACCTGTACATCCAACCTAACAGCACGTGGTATTCCCAAGCAGTCACCGATCTCGATACTGACCAAGCTGGACATTGTTTAACTTCGGTGATCGTACGGGAACCGGTGTTTCAATGAGATGTGGCCATAAGCTCTGCTTCCTTCGACAGAACTACATCTCTGTCGCTTCAAGTCACTTCTTTCTCCGTGAAGAGATTGTCTGACATTCACTGCCATTTAGGAGGATTGATATTACATAGCAGTTCAGTACTCTTTTCTTCTTTCTAACATTATTTTTCCCATCTCTTAATACTTTGCTTAGTTTCTGAAAGACATTTTTCGTTTTACCGCTTTCGGTTTTCTGGGCCACATTTTTCGTCGTTTGTTACAACACTAGCTGGAAAATATTTAATATCTCTCCGGAAATTGCTCCGAGGAGCTGCATTCGCTGGTTCCCAGACGTCATGAGTTCCAGCGCCCTACGAGGCTGGCATCCCGCTCTCACCCCTTCACTGTCGAAACTCCTAAATGTAGCCGTCTCTTCTACTCTAATAGCTTCATTTCTCGCACCTCTCGCCTGTGGAACTCCCTTCCCTTCTCCTGTTTCCCTGTGAGCTATAATCTCCAGCTATTCAAATGTAATGTCAATCGACATCTCCAGTTGCCTTAATCTATCCACTACCCTCATCCTTTCTTCTATCACTCCTATCTGATCTTGCTATAAATTTTCTGTAACCCCTTGCGTCCTAGTGGCTTCCCGCCTTGCTCGGGGTGAAATGCTTAAAAAAAAAATACAGAGCTTACACGTTCGACTCTCCTTGTTGCTGGCAACCATGCATATCTGTCTTTTTACACTTAATAGTTCTTTGTTGTTTTTTCTTTTGCAAAGGCGCCTAAGAATTCTTTCAATTTTCCTTCGGTGTCTGCCATCAACTCAGTGTCATCTTACGTTGTTAAGATGATGTCAGCCAAATAATGAATACTGGTATTTCTTCTAATCAGTGGCGTGTAGACGTTTGGTGATGTTGGGTGATGCCCGGGGCCAACTCCTTGATTGTGTGCCCCTAAGATTCAAATATGGATGCCTATAGAGCCTAGTACTGTGAAACGTGGGGAAGGAAGACATCTTAAATATGTATAAACAGATGAAACGTGAAATAAACATTTTATTCAAATTAGATATGAACTAAATTTTTATTTATCTCTTTGATTGGATGCCGTCCCGATATAGATGTCTGGAGCCGTCATACACTCTGCAGCCACCTTCTGCACGCTACTGCTTCCAATTCTCTTCATATCGTCTCTTTTTTCTTTCTTTTTATGTGTCATGTCTTTTCAGGACGTAGGCGATCATGGCTCTCCACCTCCTTCTATCCCTTGCAGCTCTCAGCAAGCTCTTTCCCTCTCCTTCCTCCCCCAGACCACGTTTTGTCATCCAACTGCTCAAGCTCGTCAGGTATGTCACGCGTTGCTTTCCCTTGTCTCTATTTGACCCGTGAGTATCATGTTCCCCAGACCCTCCTTCCTCATTATGTGTACCAGGTTGAGAAAACGCATTCTAGTCTTATTCCGATTTCTGTTTTGGTGAATTTAATTATGTCTACCAGTTATATTAAGAAAAAAACTAAGAAATTATTACACTAAAGAAGTCATTATTAAACGAATTATAAAAGGAGACAATAATCATAAGAATAACAACAACAATTTTTCACTCGTCCGTCGTAAGTGGAGTCAAGCAGTCACTTCAACCCTAAACCTTGCCCGTGCATAGTCATTTTCATACCGAACTTATGCTCATTATACCAATTATGTTGACCTTAAGGAAACGAAATTCTCATTGGTTCCAATGTGGAGGCGAGCCGGGCTCATTTTCAAATTAAGGAGCCCCACCTAAGACAGACAATTTCTAATGTCTCATACAAGAAGTGCAAAAAAAAAGATGTTTAGTACACAATGTCAAAGGTTAAATTTTCATCAAAAGGCCATCTTTTTACATTCTCACACACATATACACACACACACACACACGTATGCGCGCGCGAACACACATAAATTGAATTACAAAATAAAAATAAAGCCCTGCATAACGCGTTTCATCACTAGCAGGTACTACATCAGATTAATAATGGTTTTATCAATGGTGTCAATTTTATAAATATAGTGAGGGAGAAATAACACAAAATAACTTATAACCGGCGTTTGTTATATTCCTTCCCCACCATCGCTCTCTCTCTCTCTCTTTCTCTGTCTCTCTCTGTCTCTCTCTCTCTCTCTCTCTACACACACACACACACACACACACACACACACACACATATATATATATATATATATATAAAATATAAAAGTGAACATTGACATCAACACTTAGAGGCGACAAACTGTTTCATGCTATACGTAAGCGTCAGTTTTTCGGCTATTTATATATACGAGTCAGTGGTGCATTGTGAGTAGTCTATTTTGGCGGTTATTTTGCCGGAAGTCGTTTATTTGTTTATTTATTTATTTGAGTTAATTTATGTTTTTCGTCCGATTTTTAGTTTGATTTTTATAGTCTAATATTTAGGCCATATTGGTTTGTTAATTTGTTTATTATTTACTTTATTTATTAGGGTTCATTGATTTTTTTTTTTTTTATTTATGTATTTATTCTATTTCGTCTATTCTAACGGGTGTTATTTGGTGATTTGTTTGAGTTAATTTATTTTACTTATTTTAATGTCATTTTTTTTATTTATTTATTTTTCTTTTGCAGTTTTCGATTTTTAAGTAACGTAGTAAAAATTTGCTTTCATGTCTGCATTTTGTGATGAAGTCGGATCGTTTATTTAATAATTTATTTTTGTCTGGGAAAGTAATGATAGCTATTTTTTCCTCCAAGCAAAGTTTGCAAGTTGGTTGTTGTAGGCTGATGATCTTTTCCTTATTTTCCAAGATATTTTTGGTGTGATGTGCGTTTTGTTTTTAATTTACCAGGTATACTTAGAAAGCATTGTGCTGTTCGCGTATTTACTATTATACTTTTATATTTACACACGCTATATCTCTGATATTGAGCACTTTATCCCATAAATATAGCACACCTTAAGACTATATATATATATATATATATATATATATATATATATATATATATATACTAGTAAACAACAAAATCACAAACTGCTTCATATGGGGTATAGACCTATTTCAACCAACGAACGAAATCTTCGTCAGTTTTATTCAACCCCTGTATACAGAGTCTGTATACCAGGGTTGAATAAGACTGATGAAGTTTTCGTCGGTCGAAATAGATTTATACCCTATATGAGGTAATTTTGGATGTTATGGTCTAATACTATTTGTTTGCTCTGTATAATAAATATATTGAGCTCTTTTCGTGGATCAGTTTTAATATTTTATATTACTAGGATCTTCGTGGATTCTATAGCAACACATTTATTACCTTTACTACACACACACACACACACACATTTATATATATATATATATATATATAAATATATATATATATTTATATATATTAAAATTTGTGTATTTAGGCAGCAAAGAAATCAAAAGAAAAAAAATGAAAAAATTCTTTAATCGATAATTATTCACATTTTAATGAACATTAAAAGCATAACTGTCAGCCATAGCATTTGAACGCAAAAGAAAAATATTCAGTAATGCATAGTTGCACATAGTTTTTGCCTTACCATTTGCGCCACTGATGATGATCTCGGAAAGAGATTGAAAGTACTTGGGTAATAAAAGTGATTCTCACTGTTATAGTGCATGTCTTGCCTCATTTAATTGTAATATACGGAAAAATAAATATTCGTGAATAAAAAGGGATTATGATCAAAATAAGCAGGCATAATGTTTGTAACTTATTCAATGAGATATTTTATATTCGCGGTACTTATATATATATATATATATATATATATATATATATATATATATATATGGCAGGGTAAGAGATCAGAAATATTGGCTATTAGGTTCACATCGGCGCTTACGGTCACATCAGGTTGAAACATTTGTTCCCGTACGATCACTGAAGTCAAGCAACTTCAAGTCTGATCACTACCTAAATGGGTGACCGCTTTCAAATATCAGATGCTGTAAGTATGTATGTGAGGGTGGTGTACTGGATCATGAATATAAATTGTTAATCGGTGTGCCGAGTGCTAATTCCGGTTGGGTTCGTTATATTCACTTACGTGCAAATAACCTTTGGAAAGATATGGATCCTCTTCTTCTCCCCCAAGATATGGGTTAATTAGTAAGACTTGTCTCACTAAATCATTATTATCACAACCCAAAATTCTTACAATCTAAATATATTTTCTGTGTTTAAATAACCTGCCAAGGGTTGTTAAATCGTAAAAAAAACGAGTGAAATCTGTGTTTTCCATCGAAGACTTCACATGTGCGTGCACACACACACACACACACACACACACATATATATATATATATATATATATATATATATATATATATATATATATATATATGCGAATGTCAGTGTGTCACACTTTTTCACCTTTTAATCCTAAAGGTTGTAGCCCAACATATCATACCATTTTGGAATCATGCCGACTCTTTTCAGTCATCAGAATGGTGCTATACAATCTTTCTGTTATTTTGGTCAGTGCTGTGCAAGCCGAGGAAATAACTTAGGAAGTGGTTATTGAAATCAGAATTATCTTTACGCTTGGCAAGTTTGTGGCAACTAATTTGGTCAATCTGGCACGTGGACATGGCCCTGACGCTGACGCTTATCCGACGTAGGTCGACCGCCACCCATTGCCAAAGCATTTTACAGTTAATTTAGACATTCTGACCCGTGTGCTAGTGCAATTTCTCTCAATGACTCTTTCACTGTCTTTTAATTACTGGAGAGAAAAAAAATCAAACATTCCATTATTTGTTTTCTGTGGATGTTTCCCATGTCCATGATAAGAAGTATTGGAAAAGTTTCAGGAGGACTTTTCTTTTTTTCTTAAATCTCCTTCACCCCATCGTTTTTTCTTGCCCTTTTTTTTTCTTCCTTTTTAACAGTGACTGACCCCATCTCCAACTTTATACGACTTATTTTTCTTGAAGGCCAGTTAATCTTGTCTCCACAAAGAAAAAAGTACAACGTTTGATGAATGTCG